TTTAATGAAATCAATGATGAAGGCAACTTTTTCCGAAAACAAGTTACAATCTGACGACTCTCATATTTTCAAGGAGCTAAGACGAATGTTACAATATGGCGATCTTTGCGTTGTTACAACGCTCTAGTAAAAGAGACTACAAATTGACAGTCTCTTCAAATCAAAACGCGGATATCTCTCAAACCGTAAGGAATTTAGTGAAACGGACGGGAGCAAACCGAACCCTTAGGGTGGGTTTGTTCGGCTCCGTCTCGTCGAGATAGTCAATTTTCATATATAATTCGTCTAATACCGACTTACGGTTTGAAAGTTATGATCTGTTCTTCGCAGCAAGTTATATTCTGAAGTACGTCTGCAAGACTGAACTTCGTCTGAACATTGGACTTCGCCTAAAGCTCGCTAGGCTCGCATCTGCGTTCCAGAGTTAAGACACAGAGCTCATCTCTGCGTCCCAACAACAAAACATGGAGGTCATTCCCGCATTCCAGATCCAAACACAGCTTTCATTGTTGCGTTTTCAGCCCAAAATGCGGAGGTCATTCCCGTATTCCAGATCCAAACGTAGCTTTCATTGTTTTATTTTCAGCCCAAAACGCAGGGTTTATTGCTGTGTTCCAGAACCAAACGCAGCTTTAATTGCTACGTTTTTAGCCCAAAACGCAGAACCCAACTCTGTATCCCAGGATCAAGACGCAGAGTTCATTCCAGAACACGAATTGTGCGTTTGACTGGTTCAAATAGAACTTGAACGGTTCTAAAACAATTTTTCCACGATTTGAGGGATTTCCGCCCCCACTTAGGAGTGGATTAAGAGGGCGGTTACACCCCTTAATTCTCTATAAATACCTCAAAACTCAACTGAGTTCAGCATCTGGAATTTTGGAGATAAAAGGGCTCTCTCTTTTTTGGATTGGAATTCTTGGAGATCGGCACAAGGCTTCTTGGCAGAAGAAGGATCTCGGCAATCTTCAAACCCTCGAAGTTGTTCTTGGAGCTTTCATCAACCTTGGCTTACAAACTGATTTTTGGTTAAATCAACCACTATTCCATAGAGTTATAACTCGCTCAGGGTTTCCTAAACTCGTTAAGAGTTTCAAACTTGCCATGCAAGTTCGTCCAAGACTTCGAGTCAAGAGGTGAAGACAACGTTCCAACAAGGTGAAGAGTTTGGATCGTCAACGGAAAGCAAACTTGACACGAACATCAAGGGAGGTATTCCATCGACACCAAGAAGAACCCAGGTTAAACAAAGTGAATGGTCTCCGTCGATCCTTCTCACTTTTGTAAATCGGGAATCCGATACAAGAAGATTGTAATTTCTTTTTTTAAGTTTGTTAGAGAGAGATTGCATTGAGAGAATTATAATTAATTCTTTTTCTAAGTTTGTTAGAAAGAATAATACAAATTCATTTTCTTAATTTCTTCTTTTAATTTTCTCACAAACACTCCCTAATCAAAACAGACTCCTAAAACATTACCAAAATAGTAAAAACTGACAAAAACACTGATATCTCTTAATCCAGAGCGAATTTGGTGAAACGAGCAGTGGCAAACCAAACTTCGGTTGGTTTGATTGGCCATGTCTTGAAAAAATACGCGGTTTTCATATATAATTCATCCAATACTGATTTACGGTTTGAAAGATATGACATGTTCTTCGCGGCAAGTTATTTTACTCGACCGGGTCTGCGTTTGGACTTGTGTCTGTCCCGCTTCCACATAAATATGTCTGCCGTGTGTTCTACATTAAAGTTTGTCTATATGATTGGTTTTTTTACCAGTTAAGATATAATTATCAAAATGACTTCTACAGAACTTTATTTACCAATATGACAAGGGAAGAAGAGACGAGGTGATGATATTTGATGAGGAATCCGAATATCGATAGTGGTGCCCATTTTAAATTAAAAAAAGAAATGACTGAGATTTGGTTTCTATTTTTTTTTCCTCTGATCATAGAAAAAAAGAAATATATATATAAAATGAAGTAAAATTGGACTCAAATTCAAGTGCTTTATATCTAACTTTTTTATTCTTGATGGTAACTATTTTAATTTGTGACTATCTATTTATGTATTTTTTGTACTGTTTCATTACACCTTTCTTTTGTTAATTTCTACACATCGTTTTACTCATAAAGAGTCCAACTTTTGTATCATGAAAATTCTTAGACTCAGGTGACCATTACTTGGACTAATAACCTTAAGCTGCTTATTTATTGCGGATTGATTCTCAATTTGACTGCCCCAGAAAGGAGAAAATTTTCAACGAGAAAAAACATCACCAAACATTTTACCCACTCAGCAACTCATGTAGACGTCTGAATTAAGTTAAAACTTTACAGACAAACAATAATAGACATGATAAGCCTTTCTGAATTCTCCGATATGCTTCACACGCTGTTTACAACTGTGAGCATCGTGTCCGTTGATGGCTAGCTTCCTTTGGACTTGTTAAATTGGTCTAAATTAGTAGTGAAATTGAATTTGGTGATCCAAGTTACAGTAAATTTAAATAGTTCTAATATATATATATATATATATATATATATATATATATAAATATATATATATAATATATATATATAAGAAAAATGGAGAAACTTGGTACCGAAGTTGTTCCAAATAACTTGGTAGTGATGTGGCCTAAATCTTGTCCCTACTTCTACATTGGAGTTGGTGAAGAGTGGTTGAGGCTCTATCTTCGAGGTGTGATATAGGGGCAAGATTAGGCCACATTACTACCAAGTTACTTTAAGCAACTTGGTACCAAGGTTCTCCATATTTCTCATTATATAATATATATATATATATATATATATAATATATATATATATATATATATATATATATATATATACTTTTGATGGTTACAGATGAGTTTTTTCAGCTACAATAATCCATAATTATTGATATATATACCAAATTGTTTCTTTTTTGACATTTTTTTTGAAATTTTGGTTTATAAAACATGACTCGATATAAGCTTGCAAGTAGTTATACTTGCCCATGCATGTCTACTTCATAATTGCATAGTTAAAGACTCCTCAATTTCGGCCATGTAATCATGGCCCTTGTTCAAACAACTCAATATTTTCAGATTTTTGTGACACAGTTCGGAAATTATAAAGAATCCACAAAAAGATGTTCTCTGAATCCACAAAGGAACAATATATGAATACACGAAGAGACAACCTCAAGTCCATGAAATAATATTAAACAAATTTTTATCGATAAAAGTGATCTTAATGATCAGTGTTTACATTTTTTCTTAAATGAATAACAAAATAGACTTCTAATAATAAGACTAAAATTATAAAGAAATAGAAAATATCAAATCCTACTCTTAAAACTTCCTTTAATAAAAAAACAAATTAGTTCAACATGAATCGGAATTGGATTTATTTCCCGATCTAAATCGACTCCTACTTTATTACTAAAAATAAACAAAAAGCTAAGTATTTTTGGATTTTTTTTCAAAATAGAATTACTAATGATGATATTCTGGAAAATTGACAATCCGATTAACTTTGTCTCGTTGAAATAGGCGATTTATATATAATGATATGTTAGAATTTGCCTTCTGGATTGAGAAATATGGTCGTTTCTTTGCGAGCAAGTTAATAAAGCGTACATATCCGCGTTTAGATCATGATAGTCT